GGTTTGAAAATTGTGTGGTGGAGGTTGCCTTTCCCCCCTCGCTCAGGTTCAAATTTAAATATTCTATTTCCAGGTTTTCTTTTCTCAAAGTTGAAGAGATAAACTGAGATGGATTCCATGTTCCTTTATCCCTGAATAATGGTTGTAAAGTAGTAAATTTGAATAAAAAAATAAAATGGCATTGGGCTTTACATGCGCTTTTTTTAAGTTGCCAAAAAGATAACTTGACTCGCATTTAATTTATGTTTAATATAGTCCATATAGCATCGTTGTTTTGCGGATTTTTCAACAAAAATACAAATATTTTGAGGGAAAATTAGATTCCCCCTCCACATAATTTGTCCCTCCAACTTTTTAAGGATAATGTTAATGAGATAAATGTTGAAAAATATTTCTTTTACTTTTGACAAATTTCAACATGAGACACAAATCATTACATAAATTTTATTTATGCTTTTCAAATAAATAGATTTGAGATCTGTCGTTTAATAAATAAAAAAAGTTATTGCCTATTTTTGATTCTGACCGTCCTCCACCCTACCCTCTGCATAAAATTGTGCCTGAAGGCATTAAGTCAATTCAAGTTTTGTATTTCCTAAATATTTGCAACAGCTGATGGTGAAAACCTTTGATTTTTCAAACTTATTATTTAGATTAACAGAATTCATAGTTTTAAATATGTTAGGTAAATGACATGGGGTGGTAAAGATATAGGGGGATTAGAAAATCAGAGTTTTTAGCAAAAAAATCAATTCCTTTGTTTACAACTTTGATGTTGAACATGTGAAAACGTTTGAGTGTTCCAGTAAAACCGTTTCTAAGTTATGGAAAATCACAGGGGGTGGGTTGGACCTGTAGTAAATGCCGTACTCTTAAAAGTTTGTCCCAAACTGTATCAGTCCAGGTACCTCCCGTCCGCTATCAAAGTCAACCGGGACACAACCCACCTGGCTCGAAATGCCACACAGGGACACAAGCGTAGCTTATCAATCTAGCTATTACCCACCCCCCTCCCTCCAGCATCGTGATAGGGTTAAAAGTGTAAGAAAGTCAATATAATAATTAACAAAAGTCTAGGCTTAACAGGGCTTATACCAAGATAATCATTTAAATCTTTTTTTAGCTTGGTAAAATAATTAGTTTTTGTTCGTCTTGATTGTCCATTGTACATTGTGCACCACAGTAAATTCAAAATTTCTCTTGTTTGCAGAATAAACGTAAACCTCTGAGCAAACTGAATGCTTCCATTGCAAAAATGAAAATAAATTGCAATACATTCCGCAGCTCTTTTCTAAAAGTATTTCTATTTTATGAAACTGAAAGAAAAGAGGATTCTAAGTACAATGAAAATTAAGAAAGATCCCTTAATTCATTTTTCTTTAAAAATCGTGAAAATTCTAAATTGTATTAGTTTAAATTAATTAAGTTTAAGAGGACAGAGCCCGTGAAAAATTCGGGAAAATAAGGCTCGGGTCTAAGCTGTCGTTGGGCCTTATTTACGGCTTGAGCTTTCGGATTCAAGCCGCCGCATCTTATTTTCCACAGAGTTGAGTTCAAAAAACGGTTTGATATTATATTTGGCGGATTTGACGCATTCTGTGTTTTATGAGTACAATTCTTAACATTGAGCCTTATTCTCCACTAAAACCAACTAAGGTTGGTTTTATTTCAATTGTGCCTAACTCCTTCGGTCGAGCCGAAGATCTTGCTGCTGTCAAATGCTGAAGATTGGGTCTTAAAGTCGGGTTTAGGAAATTACGGCTCAAGCCGAAGTTTTTAAATCGTGGGCTCTGTTGACTTTATTCAAATGATGCAACTTCCTGAATTTCTAAAAAACCCTGTGATCAAAAACTAAAAAGTTTTTTGATAAAGGAAAAGCTGTTCTCATTCTTTACCATGAATAGTGGATTATTGACATTATTCAAGAAAGTAAGTTAATATTGAGAAATTCTGAAAAAATGTTTAAAATTAGTTAATTTTATGGGCAAAGGAATTGAGTTTTTGCCCCAAACTAAAAAAATGTAATGCCTATATATGTGCAACCTGATGGGGTAAACCTTCGAAATTTCAAACTTTGACTTTTTAATATAAGAGAACTTAGAGCTTGAAATATTAATGGTCTAAAATATCGGGTTTCAGAAATAAAGGGATTAGAAAATCAAAGGTTGCGACAAATACTCAATTCCTTTCTCAAAAAAAATAACCTCTCCTCCCCTCCCCCCCTCCCAAATAATCCTCTAAAGTCAAGTCGAGTTAAAAAGTTTTATCCCAAGCTTACAATGATTATAAACGATGGTTTCGTGCTTAAAAGGATAAAGTTTGCCAATTTTTCCAAGAAATATCTCAATTTTATTTTATTTATTTTCTGGTTTATAGTACGGCCTTAAAACATGTAGCTATTCAATCTATCTAATGGATGATTTTCAATTCAGTCAACAAAATTAACCCTCAAAAGACTGAGGCCTCTAAAATATTATTGCAAGCCAATAAAACCCCCGCTCCCCCCCCTCCCCTCTCCTCCCCCAGTTTATGCATTTTTTAAAACTATTCAAATTTAAGGGTTATATTGTACTAAGTATCAGTATCGTACAGGGTGTCCAAGAAACATGACAATTGGTGAATAGTTTGAATAGTCTTCTTCCATGATTTTTAAGTTGTTTGATACTAAAAAATTGTATATGACAGTCGTATTTTAGTTAAATTGATTTCAAAGTAAAATATATTTTTGTAAAAACCTTTTTAACTAAATAAACTGCACAAAAAGTATTCAATAACTAATACAGTATACGGAAGAAGACATTCAGAACTATCACCCAACTGTAATGTTTCGTGGAACATCCTGTATGTAATATATTGGTGTTCTAGATATTGAAAGGAAAAACAATATATCTTTCAATAAATAATATTATTATGTAATATTGTATATATTGAGAAAATGTTTACATCCTCAAAAGACTATACAAAAACTAATCTTTATAATAAAACAAGACATTCGTAAATATATTCCCTCTGACCGGTCAAACGGCTGGACCGAATGGGCTATCAAACGTTGTGGACTAACATGGGTGGCCAGTGGGTGACAAAGGCTAAAAAAAAAAAAAAATTTTTTTAATCAAAAAAATCCACGGGCCTATCAGCTAGTAATAAGATAAAACGTTCTCGGTTTATAACCCTCACGATGAGGTGGGGGGGGGGGGGTCCACCTCCCTCCCCCTGTGGTTTATTCTTAATAACTTAAAAATGACTTTAGAACGCTAAAACTTCTTCACCTTTTCAACATCATAGTTGTGAGCAAATTTTGAAACCAATATTTTTTTGATGAATAAGGTAGGGTTGAGGATGGGCAAACGGCGGGGGGTGTTTAAAAAATTCAAAAAAGGTTAATAATTTTTTATTAATTAACCTACACGGCTAAGGCTTATGTATTTGAAAAGGCCTTAAAAAATATTATGTGTCATGTGTTAATATTTGTCAAAAGTAAGAAAAATTATTTTTGAAAAATTTTCGACATACTTTTTGAAATTTTTAAAATCCTCCCTTACACCCTAATCATTAAAGTTAGAGGTATAATTTTTTTGATGAACATGCCTTGAAAAGTTGGAATATGTGCATGTATCGCACTCCCCTATCTCAACTCTAAGGGCAAAATCATATTAAAATCTATATTAGACAAAAATAGCCCAATTGGGATAGGGTTAATGGTCTTGTAAGGTTTCATGCATTAAATTTCGGCCAAATTGGCTTCGCCGTTTTTACAACCCTGATGTAGACGAGCAGATAAATTTTTAAAAAAGTATTTTTTCAATTTTAGGTTCAAATAAAATTATTTACAACTTTCACTTTACAGGGAAGTTAGGGAATTTTATTTTACCAAGGGTTCAGAAGACCGATTTTGTCTACAAAACATATAGAGCGCAGCGAGGATGTTTTAGGTTGGTAATGTTGGTCAAAAGGTGATAAATAATATCATGCTGCATGGTTTCAACTTAACGGTTAAATCTCATTGTTGCCAAACTTGTTAATCGTAATATAAAGTAACTCAAAGCATGCTACGTACATTTCACACTGAGCTAATTATAGAGAGAATTTTAAATACCACTTTGTGACCTCGTAGCTTCTAGTTTTCATGTTACGCATAAGTATGAGAACAAGAAAGAAACTGAGTTCTAGCCACAAACTGAACTTTTCAAATCTCTATATCTTTGCAACATGAAAAACTTTGCTATTTTAAACTTAGACTATTTGATCCAACAGAATTCAAGTTTTAAATATGAAAGGTCTACAACATCGCGTTGCAAAGATAGAGATTTAAAAACATGAGTGTGTGACAAGAACTCAGTTCCTTTATTCAGATATATATTAGACTTTTATATTTCACTTGGTTTTTCTCAAAAGAAAAAGCAGTAATAGGAGTTATAAATTGTGATTTAATTGTACTAAGTGAAAAAAGTCATAATTATCACTTCTTTTTGGGATTAAATAGAAATAACTGTTAACGTTTTACAAAGCAGATATTGACCTTAAAACATACAGGGTTACCCACAAAGGGTAAGACTGTAAAGACGATCTGACACTTAAATTGTCTATTCCACTTATAAACTCTTATAATATGGCTGTTCCAGGGTTAGATTGAGACTTCAGCTTTGAATTTATATTTGCATATTTAATGATTTCGCAAAATCTATTTTACAGCTGCATGGAATAAGCCAGCATAAATTCCGTACAATCTCTCCTGGATTTGTATTTTTGATCCAGAACAAACAAGATTAGAAGTTTATAAAAGAAGCTTAGAAGGCAGGGAACACACACTTCATCAATAAAAAATGAGTGATTGGAAAAAGAACAAAATGTCACGAAAATAAAAAAGAAAAATTCTTTTAAAAATTTGGAAATAATAAATGAAAAGGTTGCATGTGAAAGAGAAAGTTCAGAAATAAAATTTTAAAAAATCAAGGACAATGACCAAAAAACACATTGAGATGAAAGTGAAAAAAGGACAATTAAGAAAAATTTTTATTTTGAATAAGAAAATGAGTACAAATTGTATAGATAAGATATTTAGATATTTAGATAACACTACAGTAGGTCCAGTTTGAAATTTGGTTCAAATAAATGTAAATTAAAATGAGCCAGCTTTGGTGCTTTTTTTCATCACAAGGAGAGTAGATGGTAAGATTTTAAAGGTATTGTTGTCACGCTACTCCTTAAAGACAGGATTACTCGAAAGTATACTCAACTCCCACAACTATCGTATCAGAATTTATCTCTGTAAACTGTTTGTACTCTTAACTTGACTAAGCACAGCAAAGTAGTTTTTCTCTTTAAACTTGACTTAGCTCTGCCATCTAGTTACGTCTGTTTAAACTTTACTTAGCGTTGCCATCTAGTTACGTCTCTTTAAACTTGACTTAGCTTTGCCATCTAGTTACATCTCTTTAAACTTTACTTAGCATTGCCATCTAGTTACGTCTCCTTAAACTTTACTTAGCACTGCATCTAGTTTCTTCTTTTAAAACTTTACTTAGCATTGCCATCTAGTTACGTCTCTTTAAACTTGACTTAGCATTGCCATATAGTTACGTCTCTTTAAACTTTACTTAGCACTGCCATCTAGTTTCTTCTCTTTAAACTTTAATTAGCATTGCCATCTAGCTAAGTCTCTTTAAGCTTGACTTAGCCCTGCCATCTAGTTACGTCTCTTTAAACTTGACTTAGCACTGCCATCTAGTTACGTCTCTTTAAACTTGACTTAGCACTGCCATCTAGTTACGTCTCTTTAAACTTGACTTAGCACTGCCATCTAGTTACATCTCTTTAACCTTGACTTAGTACTGCCATCTAGTTAGGTCTCTTTGAACTTGACTTAGCTCTGTCATCTAGTTACGTCTCTTTAAACTTGACTTAGCACTGCCATATAGTTTCTCTCCTTAAACTTGACTTAGCACTGCCATCTAGTTTCTCTCCTTAAACTTGACTAAGCACTGCCATCTAGTTTCTTTACTTAAACTTGTTTTAGCACTCCCATCTATAGTATCTGCCATCTAGTTACGTCTCTTTAAACTTTACTTAGCATTGCCATCTAGTTGCGTCTCTTTAAACTTGACTTAGCCCTGCCATCTAGTTACGTCTCTTTAAACTTTACTTAGCATTGCCATCTAGTTACGTCTCTTAAAACTTTACTTAGCTCTGCCATCTAGTTACGTCTCTTTAAACTTTACTTAGCACTGCCATCTAGTTTCTCTCCTTAAACTTGACTTAGCACTGCCATCTAGTTTCTCTCCTTAAACTTGACTAAGCACTGCCATCTAGTTTCTCTCCCTAAACTTGACTAAGCACTGCCATCTAGTTTTTTTACTTAAACTTGTCTAAGCACTCCCATCTATAGTATCTCTCTTTAAACTTGACTTAGCATTGCCATCTATATAGTATCCTTCTTTAAAATAAACTTTTGTAATTTGGCAAACTGTATTCAGGTAGAATTTAAATTTTCTAAAGACGAGATTATCTAATCAAAGTTTCTAGATCGACTTTTCCCAGACATAAGTGCTGCAAACTCACTATATCCAACCCTTCCATCTCCGTCCTAAAATTTGGAAAATTAAAATCGATTTTAAAGGGAATGTGAGCGTATTTTCAGGTGATCTTCCATAGAAAGATGACAAGCCCAATTTACGTCTGTATCCTGGAAAGGTTTGTCTGATCAATTATGAATTAGTTACAAATGTTTAAAAAAATAAAACTATTTAGTTCTCTACAGAATTAATTTCTACTGCAGGAAAACATATACAAATTGAATATTTTTATAGAAAAACTAAAATATCTCCCTTATTATTTATCAGATAACGGTTTCAAGGGTACCGTTGTGAATCGGACACCGCCATCTTTGCATGGAGGGTCACTTGAATTACTCGTACAGTCCCTTTAAACATTGCAAAATTATTCTTGACAAAGAGAAGTATTGTCGTAGAAGTATAATCTAGAATACAGAGCACTGCATTCGATCCAAACATGTTTTAAGCAAATCATATCACAAATATTCTACCAATTATATTAACAAATTAAACGATTAAAAATTGCTGAAGTTTTTTATTTTGTAAAATAAAAGTTAATTTTTTTATTCTACTTTAGTTTGAATATTAATTCTTTCCAAATTTTAAGTTTCGGGCGTAGAAGAAGTCCACGTTCAGGGTTTAGTACTTAGGTTGGCGATCATATCAATACAATGAAGACAGCTTTTTTATTTAAGTTTTGATTGCTAATGAGTCTTTATACAGCTTGATATACATCAAAATTAAAACCGAAATTTGTCCTTATTGTTTTGATACACGCAACGACGACTATATGTCCAAATAGAAAATTATTGTCTAAAATCTAAAACTTTACTATTTAAAGTGTCATTCATAAAACTGTGGAATTTTAAGGCGATTTTTGGACTCAAGTTATGCAAATTTTATCGATAAATTATTTTTTAACTTTATATAATCTAAGAGTTACTTTTGAAAACATACGTTTATTTCTGTTTCAAGAATTTTTGATAATGAAGACGAAATTATTATTATTATTTTTAAAAATATATAAATCAAAAATATTGAAATATAAACCATATACGAATGCGTCGCAAAATTATTGATGATTACAGGTTGTAATATCTGAATGATTTGTTTGGAATTATATTGTTTTCTTTTCCGAGTTGAATGTTGCAACTTTCTGAATTTGTATGGAGGCTACGTTTTTCAGTATGAGTCGTTTTTATCAATTTTCTTCTTTTAGACGCAACAGATGGAAGTCATATTAGTAGCGATCACCATCAATAATTTTTCGCCGTAAGCCTAAAACCCCTTTAATTTTCGCGAACACTCCCTTTAATAACTAAATATTCAACCTATACATCAAACAAATCAATATTGTTTAAATTTCTGATCATTTTTCACAGTTTTATGAGTATTTTTAGTATATTTTCATCCGTGGATGTCTATAAACTATTTACCCAAACACAAGCTTATTGCTGAGAATTTTGTGGAAAACGAAAATATTATTTTGCAACAAATTGCACACAGTAATTACAAACTTGCTGTCCAGAGAACTCAGCTTTGGAAATATAAATATACAAAAATACTAAAATTAAAGTGCTTGGTAAAAATCGTTTGATGTTTGTAGAAATTGGTTAAAATAAGGTTACAAATTAATGAGAAAAACTTTTCATATGTTAAAAAATGTAATTTAACTTTCATGTTTTTTATTTCAAAATTTAAAGAAAAATTACCTTATCCGCCCATCTCATCATTTCCTCAATCTAAAAAAAAATTGTACAATTGTCTTAAAAAAAACTTTTATAATAAGATGATTAAATTTGCTGTTCAACTCAAAAAAAAAGATCAAAAAGCAAAGTAAATTGCCTCAAAATTTAAATCTTCTGTGCTCGTCGGAAGGTTTAACATGTTGGATTAAAAAAAAGGTTCTGAGCTTTATTTCAACCCAACTTGTCAAAAAATAGGCGCACAGGAAAATAACGACACACCACTACCCCGATTTGATTTTGGGACAGTTTAAACTATTTACTTCGATATTTGATCCTCTCTTTGAATTTAACATGAAAAGAAAATCGGAATAGGAATAGGATTAAATGAATGGCAAATTTTAAATTCTTATTCAGTCCATTTTGCCAAAAAACATTCGCCGCATTTTCTCTCACCTCATCCTCGGTCAATTGTTCTCCTAGATCCAACATTACTGCGGTCAACTCAGCCGAGGAAATATACCTGAATAAATAAAATAGTAAGCTCATGATTTTACTTTTAATGCATAATACAAAATTTTCACTGATTTTAATCAGTGAAAATTTATCAAAAAGATTTTTCCAATCATTTTGAAAAATTGTTTAGGTTTATAACTTAATTGAGTGAAAAGTTTTGCAAATAAAACGAAAACAAGCTTGTCGATCAAAAATGTGTATAAACATATTTATATATAATATACAGATATATACATACATGAAATAAATATATATTTAAATATCTTATAATAAACATCACATATTCCTGTGGACTTGTGGAGCTTTTTAAAAGTAAAAAAAAATTAATGTTTAAAACGGACAACAACAATGTAATTACAAGGGGTTGTGCCATTTTCAGCTTTATAGTCTGGATAAACAATCTATTTTAATGTATCTTTATTTTTAATTTAACATTTCCTCTAACCCCCGTCAGCCCGTAAAAACGCCGTTAGTGCTATTCATAACATTAATAATTATACAATTTTTAGCAGCCTCTCAAAGTTTTAAGAGATTTAATCAAAGTTCTATTTGATGCTGCCAAAGTTTTATAGCATCCTTTCAAAGTTTTATCAGAACATTTTTAAGATTTAATACACGATCAAAAAAGTATTGTAAAATTCATAATTAAAGTTCTGGCCAAGCTAAACCCCTTGCTGGCATTAATTTGTATTTTTTGTAAATCTAAAATACATTACTTCTATTGTAACCAATTTTATCCAATTTATCCCCCAATTCTTTCCGCTTTATCACCATCAATTACCAATATTAATGCACTTGAAAGCCAATATATTTCTTCTGTTTATCGGTTAGTACCACTTCTATCAAGTTTTGTAGGAAATACAATTATTTGCGCCCGATGGGTATCAAACATCCCCCCCCCACTCACAGGATATCAAACTAAAACTACTTGTCAATTGTTTACGTGAATATACGTCTTCAGACACATATTTGAATTTAGTCTTTGTTTTCTAAAAAATGGTCCCAAATTTAATTAAGATAAATCTAAGGATTCTATATTTTGTCTTCAAGTTGTCATCTGATGATGTAAACCTTCGATATTTCAAACTTAGATTATATAAACATAATATAATTCATAGTTTGCCATATCAAGGTCTCTGACATCAGTTGCTGCAAAGATATAGGGATTATAATATTTGAGTTTGTATCTAAGACGCAATTACTCTCTCAAAGCTAACAACATAAATTTGCGCTATGTAAAGATTCAAAAATAGAAGTGTTGAGCACTGCACAGACAGAGTAAATATTGATAGAGGCTCAGTGTACTGAGTACAACAGGCAAGCTGGGCAAAACTGTACAATTTTGAAAAATTGGGGTCGTTTGTGTACGTATATCAAACACAAGTTATTCTTCCAGTGCTTCCTTTGTTTTTTATTTACATTTTAGTGGAAAATATCTATTTATCTCCCAGGTCACTTAGTATTTAGTAGTTGAAAACAAACCCTGCGGTATGTGTACTGTATGAACCTTCCTCTGGAACTCGAGGTTTCGTGAGCTAGATGAGTTGTCTGAGTGTCTATCTTTGTCTATGGTGTTGAGGCAGGTGTTAAGTTCATGTGCAAATATTAGAATAATTACCCGTCGTCATTCTTGTCGAAAAAGTCAAACACTTGCTTTATTTTGTTTCCCTCTGCACAGATACAAATATTGTTAATAATCTTGTTGACTTTCTCAGGTGTTTTTTTTTACTTGTATACTTCAAGTTTTAAAGCTCTTCATTTTACCTTTAAAAAGCAAGTCTTTGCGATTGGCAACTTTTTGGTTACATCATTCTGTGAATAATTGCAGTGGTGTAAAACCATGAATTCTTGTATCAATCAATCAATCAGAGTTTAAGAGACATCTTACTAACTATATGTCATGCTCAATTTGAATTTACTAAATTGAGACCGATTAGAAGCTGTTTCTAATCATTAGTTCTTATGTTCACTTCCTAATGATTAATATATGATTTTCGTAGTTCTTTTTAGGTTTTATTTATGTTGTCTGTAATTTTCTATACAAAAGCTTCGAATTACTTCATAATTTGTTCTTTCACATTTTGGAGCTTTTTAATTGGTAGTTTTAGACATGAAGAGAGGTTGAAGGAAGTGGTATTTTTAAACTCTTTTTAATTGGTAGTTTTAGACATGAAGAGAGGTTGAAGGGAGTGGTATTTTTAAACACTTTTTCTCGGCTACAGTGATAAACAGAAAACTCTGAAATAGGAAGACGACTTTTATAATGAAGTTATAACTTTAAAAAGTCTATTGAGCATGAGACACAGGAATTATTTCACCAAACTAATGTTTTATAAGTGTCTTGTAAAACTATTTGCTTTGTAAAAACATCATATACAATTAAGTATTGCAATAATGTCGTCTTCCCACTCCATTGTTTTCTAGCTATCACTGTAGCTAAAATTATCTAAGGGATTATGTTTATAGGCCTGGATTAAAGGGAGCCTTCATTCAAAAGAGTTAAATTGAAATTTAAAAATTTAAACGTTTTTCGATCAATATTGTGTTTTATTTAAAAATTGTTTAATTTTCACAATTTTTTCATTATGGACTCTACAGCATAATTCCGCAAGTAGATTCTTAAAACACCAAAATCAAAAATAATCACTTTTTAAAGATTAGAAGATGGATCTATTATTAATTCTTGATCTATTAAAGTTTTTATAAGTATGGTTGTGAATCTAAGAGCCACTGGAAGGTATGTTCCCAGCCTCTAGTCGAATCCAATCTTGATCAAAACAATTTTGTTTTGTTTTCAATCTTTCTGTCTCTAAACTTTAAACTGTTTTCATCTCATAATGTTTTCCCTTTTTCATCAGAACATTGAAAAGAATTCCGATGAAATATTTGTTGAAACGATTTGCAGCAAAATTAACTTGAAAAATTGTTGAAAACCAACAAATTAAAATTTAGAAAAAAGTATTTTTTCACCCTTAAATTAACGACGCGACGATGCGGAAATACTTTTATTCTGTTTTTTTCAAAGAAAAAGACTTAATCTAACCTTAAAATTGTCATATTTTTAGTGATTTAGCTCGTGTTGATAACATAAATTAAGGAGGAATTTTAATATTCCAAAAAAAGAAAGTTATAATTCAAGACCAATGGAAGTAATAAACGAAATATTGCGGAAGATTATCAAAAAACTGCCCTAACATTTCAGATAAATTATCATTTTCATTATTTTGCAATAAAAAGAAAAACCGAAGACGACAATTTTGTCTCAGTTTTCTGGTTCTGAACCCATTTAACATTACGTATATTTGCATCCCTGATATTCTGTTCGCCATCATCTGAATAAACTCATCAAGTTCAATAGCTCCACTTCCATCCTTAACAAATCTTTCATCAATTTTCAAAATTGTTTGGTTATCACTGTATATAGTATACACTAGCTGGAGTGCCCGGCGTTGCCCATGGATATAAAAAAATCGCGAACATAAAAATCTAAATTTGGTAGCCCATGTTAACCCCGAACAATTCAGCAAAGGAAATGAGTCTTTGCAACAAAATCTTATTTTCTAATTTGTATATCTTTTCAACCAAATGGCGTAGACCATAGATATTTCAAACTATGAATTATGTTAGATAAAATAGTCTAAGTTTAAAATATCAAAGGATTACGCTATCAGGTTGAAAAGATAAAAGATATTTGAATATTTAAGTTTGTGGTAAAGACTCAATTCCTTTGGTCCAGCCATTTGGCCAGCAATAACTAACAATAAATATACAAATATATATATGCGCAAAGATCTTTATTATATAGATATAGCTTATACCTGATCTACTTCTGAAACCATCTCCTGTAATTCTTCTTCAGTTGGTCTCTCTCCTAGCCGTCTCATAACTGTTCCAAGCTCCTAGACAAATATATAATTTCTTCAGTTGGTCTCTCCCCTAGCCGTCTCATAACTGTTCCAAGTTCCTAGACAAATATATAATTTCTTCAGTTGGTCTCTCTCCTAGCCGTCTCATAAATGTTCCAAGTTCCTAGACAAATATATAATGTCTTCAGTTAGTCTCTCTCCTAGCCGTCTCATAACTGTTCCAAGTTTCTAGACAAATATATAATTTCTTCAGTTAGTCTCTCTCCTAGCCGTCTCATAACTGTTCCAAGCTCCTAGACAAATATATAATTTCTTCACTTGGTCTCTCTCCTAGCCGTCTCATAACTGTTCCAAGTTCCAAGACAAATATATAATTTCTTCAGCCATCTCATGTGTGTTCCAAGCTCCTAACAAATATATAATTTCTTCAGTTAGTCTTACTCGTGTAGCCGTCTCATGTGTGTTTCAAGCTCCTAGACAAATATATAATTTCTTCAGTTAGTCTCTCCCCTAGCCGTCTCATAACACTTCCAAGTTCCTAGACAAATATATAATTTCTCCAGCTGGTATCTCTCCTAGCCGTCTCATATTTGTTCTAAGATAGCTTCTAGAGAAATATATATTTTCTTCAGTTAGTCTCTCTCCTATAGCCGTCTCATATTTGTTCCAAGCTCCTAGACAAATATATAATTTCTTCAGTTAGTCTCTCTCCTAGCCGTCTCATAACTGTTCCAAGTTCCTAGACAAATATATATTTTCTTCAGTTGGTCTCTCTCCTTGCCGTCTCATAACTGTTCCAAGCTCCTAGACAAATATATAATTTCTTCATTTGGCCTCTCTCCTAGCCGTCTCATAACTGTTCCAAGTTCCTATACAAATATATGATTTCTTCAGTTAAATGTAGAGTCGCAAAACGGATTCACAATTCGGTGTCCTGAGAACAAGGAGTATGCAAATAGAAGGGAGATACAACTGACTTAGCCCGCCCTACCATATGATTATACATGCTTTGCAGACAATACTCTATTTGAATAAGAAATATTTGTCTGATGTAAAATTACCTCGTATACAATAACCTATTCTGAATATTTCTTATACAAATGGAGTACCTATCTGCAAAGGGTGTATATTCATAGAGAATAGAATATATAGAGAGGAATTAAAAGAATCTCTCGGTCTGAATTTTTTCAGTCCCTTTCAGCCTGAAAGGGAGTTCAAAGTGTACAAATCATGTAAATGTTCACAAATTATATGCAGTAGAGTACATTAATACAGTATGTTCCCTAGACTATCCATTTCAATTTCGAATTTTTTAAACTGTTAAATAAACTTTATAATGAATTAGGTGAATAATCATTTGATTTATAGTTATAACGGAAAATCATCGTTTGTAAAGTGGAAGGCATAGAGTATATGTGAAATGATCATTGGTCAATTATAAAACCAGCCTATTTCATAATTTGGTTTTCTTTTAACAATAATTTTAGATTTTCTATAAAATGATATTCCAGGGCCCAACAGGTTATATAGCATAAATATGTGAAGTACACATGCAGTATGGAAACAGTACAACAAAATGGCCGGTTTACACTTTTTTCTAGTAAATTCCTCTCTATATATTCTATTCTCTATGTGTATATTATATAATAATATGGTAGGGCCGCGTCAGTTGTATCTCCCTTCTATTTCATACTCCTTGTCTGAGATGCTTTGTCTGAACAAGCATAATGGAGAATATAATTATGGTTTTTCAAAAAAAACTCAATTGTAATTCATGTAATGACTCACAGGGACTACAGACGTAATATCAAGGGATTTACAGATTGCGCGTCATGCCGATTTAAATTACATCTTAAAAATCAGAAATCTGATGATACCGACGAGTAAATCTGACATTTTACATTCTTGTTGACGATTATACCTTTAACCTAATTAACAGGATTAATTATATATATTAAAACCAAAAGAAATATTTCGACTTTATTTTGAAACGAGAATTAACTTTATTTCCAGTTAGATAATTCCAGCAAATATAACCACTTTTATCCACTTTCTTCAAAATAAGAAGAATTCTATATATCAAGAAATCTAGTTTTTACTCAGCTTGTAATCAGAACAAGGTTTATATAATTCAATAAAAGGAAACATGTCTAATTCCAACACATCTACCAATTTACTCTGCTCGGAGGATACGATAACATCTGAGAGAAATAAGGGAAGAAATCATCATCATTGAAGTACTATTGGAGACATCCTCCCATTGGAGACCCCCATGGACGTCTCATTGGAGACTCCCATAGTTTTGCCACCCAAAGTCGTAGACCTTAGATATTTAAAGCTATGAATTCCGTTAGATCAAATAATCTAAGTTGGAAATATCAAAGTTTTACGCCATCAAATAACTCAGATATTGGGGTTAGAACATTTGAGTTTGTAACAAAGACTTAATTCCTTTGTTGTCAATTCTGATAAGTAGGAAAAGAGGAAAGTCATTTTTTCCTCTGCACCCCCTCCCTCCTCTCACAAATTTAAAAGAATTTCATAATATTGATAAATTTCAGTACAAATTTCTGTATGATAAATAACAATTTTTACTTTAAAACATTTGAAAAAACATCAAAGCACAAATAAAGCAAATAAAAATATAAATAAAACCATATTGTTCCCTTAGGAATAGAATAAAACACATTTTTACTATAGTCATCTGTTTGATATTTTGGGACATGTTTTAGACAAAAATTGCTCCGTTTTTGCAGACAAATTTGTGTGCAAAAACTGCTCCGTTTTTACAGACAAATTTGTGTAAAGTAATTCAGTCTTTACAAACTCGAATTTCATAATACCTATAACTTAGCGCAACCCGTTCATATTTCAAACTTAGATGATTTGGTCTAATAAAATTTATAATTTAAAATATCTCAGGTCTACGACATAAGGTTGTAAAGAGGAGTTGAAAATCAGAGTTTTTTGCAAAGACTCAATTCCTTTGTGCGAAATAGCTAAAATTTGGATCTAACTCTATTTTTTTTTCCTCGGAACACGTTTACCTCTTTTGTAATTGTTCCATCGCCATCAATATCAAATTCTAAACAAAATATTAATTATGATAATTTGCTGACAAAACAAAATATTAATTATAATAATTTACATACAGGCACAAAAGGCTGCAACAATTATATCTACGTGAGACTGTAAGCGTAATTTTAAGTTACCCTCTTTGCAAAGAGGACAATGTCCGATTTACAACGGTACCCTTAAAGCATTTGAATATTAGCCGAGTACAGATAAATGTGTGTTTAAACTTATCGAAACCCGCTTGTATTCAGCTGTGTTGAGTTACATACATACTGAACTTTAAACAGCTGACACTTTAAAGTTTTACGGTACCGTTGAAAATCAAGCATTGACCTTTTAGTCAGGAATGTCACATGAAATTACGATTACAATCCCTTAAAACGTTTTTTTAACAAATCTGTACTCCTTGTTAGTTTCTAGATCAAAATATATCTCTAATTGAAGTAAAATGAGAAACACAAATACGACTAAGAAATAAAGTAAATTTCACTTGTATTGTAACTAAATATTAAAATGTTAAAAATCTTGAGATAGAGTAAACTTCTTGAAAAAATAGCTGCGACTCAAATGTTTAAATATCTTAACAAGTTTGAGATTTTCTATCAACATCAATATGGATTTAGACCACAACATAATACTAATCAACCTTTACTACACCTAACGAATAAAATTTACGAAAATCTTAATAAACCCCAACCAGAATTTACACTGGGAATTTTTTTAGATCTTAAGAAAGCTTTTGACTGTTGCAACTTAGATATCCTTTTAAAAAAACTAGAGTATTACGGTTTTAAAAATGTAGCTAACACATGGTTTCAAAACTATTTAGTAAATAGGACTCAATATGTTTGTATAAATGGTATTTTTTCTAAAGAAAAAACAATTTTATGTGGTGTTCCTCAAGGAAGTGTTCTTGGGCCCCTACTTTTTCTCATATACATAAACGATTTGCCTTTAGCAACGTCTTTTTTTACTAATCTATTTGCTGATGACACTAGTTTTCTAAAATCATCTCCACATATCGAAACTTTAGTAATTGATGCGAACTTTGAACTAAAAAAGGCAGCTACATGGTTTCAGGCAAACCGTTTAACACTAAATGTTTCCAAAACAAAGTTTATGATATTTAGGAATAAAAATATGCATTTTGATCCTGAGAACTGCAAATTAAAAATTGGAAATGAGATACTAGAAAGAATAGGAACTAACTGTACAAATAAATATTTCAAATTTGTTGGACTCAAAATTGATGAATTTTTAAATTGGGACTATCAAATTGAACATGTTTCCAATAAGATTGCTAGCTCAATTTTTGCTCTGAATCAGATTAAAAACATTTTACCGTTAAACATTCGTCTACTAGTCTATAATGCACTTGTAAGGCCACATATTGAGTATGGAATTATAACATGGGGGGGTGTAAAAAATGCTAAACTACAGAAAATCAAGTCTTTGCAAAAAAGGGCAATTAGAGCAGTAAATAATAGTTCATTTAAGGCACATTCAGATCCAATATTTTTCAGATTAGAACTCCTAAATCTTGATGATACATATAAACTAGGTGTTCTATCTTTTATGCATAAATACTTTTATGAAAACCTTCCAGCTTCCTTCCAGGATATGTTTAATTCTTTAGCTGAACCAAATAGAACAAAATCATATAAACTTGAACGAGTCCTCTTTAAAACCCTAGAAAGTTTTCCCTCTGCCTTATTTCCAAAAATATGGAATTCGATTGAATTAGAGCTTAAAGAAACTAAATCTGCAAAATCGTTCAAAAGAAAAGTCGCCAAGATCTATTTAGATAGTTATGCAAATTATATCTGTAAAAAAAAAAACTGTGTATCATGTGGATAAACTTAGTCTTTACTATCTTCTTCACCCTGTAGTTCATAAACATGATTCTAATAACTTATGTTACCCTCTGTTCCAACCCTTACGCTGAGTATCCTCCCTTTTCTTTATACTCCCTCACCTCCTCCTTACCTTTTACCTGATTTATTATCATTCTTATGTTTAAAATGTACAATGTACATTGTTTTTATCTGCAATTCTCATTCGTTTATAGTGGGCCAACCAATTAAAACAACCTACTCTGGTTAGGCGGGTCCAAACTACATAGTAAATTGTGATTTTTTATTTGTATTATCTCGTGCTTTGTAGTTGAATAAAAAAATATGAAAATATGAGAGTCCTATTTTAAAACGCTTTTAAATTTATTTTACTATTTTGTTCTTTAATGGACAAGCAGACATAATTTCAGAAGATTCTCTTTATACAGTGACAAGTTTATATTTGAGCAGAAATAATGAAGATATCATTGTTATTAAATTATAACAATTATGCACAGCGCAAGTTACTTATAAGAAAAATGGTAACTTAGAAGGATCAATTTTATGAATGAAAAAGAGATATCACTTTTACTCAGACGAAGATTTAAATCGGACTCAGTATTTTTACATGACCCCCCCCCCCCCCCCCGTTTTTATCAATATTGTTTTAACGGGATCATGAAAGCAAAGAAAGAACAAGTGTTTCTGCACTTGTTTTAAACTTTGTGTTTTTAATTAAAACAAATTTTCTTCTACTTGCTTCAAGTATTATTAAACTTTGAATATCAGCGTATGCACTTAAACCATGTAGCATTAGCAGAGGATACCTTAGCATGAAATTAATAAGGTCAAATCCTTTATTTAGATTTTAATTAAAGGGACTGTAAGCGTAATTACAGATGACCATCCATACAAAGATAAAATTGTCTGACTTAGAAGGTTACCATTAAAAGCTTTGTCTTATCAAGTATCAATTTGATATGCATGTTATCTATAAACTATTTATTTTCAGTTTTGGTTTCTTTGCAAAACTAACTTACGCATTTCTTGTTTCTAAGAAAGTCACAGGAAAAAAAACACTTGCCGCTTGGGAAATTACATATTCCGGAAGTTACCACTTGGGAAATTGTCTTTTGGAAATACCAAACACCCTGTTGAGTGTTCAATATTTGAAACAAAATGCCAGGATTTCTTCTGACAATGTGTTACCTACGAAAGCTTCTTTAAACTCCTCCATCTGTTGATCAGTAAACTCTACATCTCCAAATATATTTTTCTTTTTCACTTTCATCTGAACACATAGTTGATAAGGTTTTAGTTCACAGAGGAATACTAATTATTGTAAACAATTGTAGACAATAACATTGATTGTAAACAATACCATTGATTGTAAACAAAAACATTGATTGTAAACAATAACATTGATTGTAAACAATAAAATTGATTGTAAACAATAACATTGATTGTAAACAATAACAAAGATTGTAAACAGTAACATTTATTGTAAACAATATCATTGATTGTAAACAATAACATTGATTGGAAACACTAACATTGATTGTAAACAATAACATTGATTGTAAACAATAAAATTGATTGTAAACAATAACATTGATTGTAAACAATAACAAAGATTGTAAACAATAACATTTATTGTAAACAATATCATTGATTGTAAACAATAACATTGATTGGAAACACTAACATTGATTGGAAACAATAACCATGATTGTAAACAATTACAATCATTGTAAACAATAACAATTATTCTAAACAATTGCAATGATTTCTAAATAATAACAATGATTGTAAACAATAACATTGATTGTAAACAATAACCATGATTGTTACAATAACCATGATTGTAACCAATAACAATGATTGTAATCAATAACCATGATTGTATCAATAACCACGATTGTAAACAATAACAATGATTGTAATCAATAACGATGATCGTAAACAATAACAATAATTTTTAACAATAATCATGATTGTAAACAATAAGAATGGTTGTAAACAGTAACAATGATTGTAAACAATAACAATGATTGTTAACAATAACAATTATTGTAAATAATAGCAATAGTTGTAAACAATAACAAAGATTGTAAAAAATTGTAATGATTGTAAACAATAACAATGATTGTTATCTTTAACGGCTGGCACTGTTAATGATTTCTAAAGTATCTTTTGTTAACGCCATGATAATATTGAGATCGTAATGTCGAACGGTAGCTTTGAAATAACAAAAAATACCGTTAACGCGTTTCGAACGTTCTATTTTCAGATATAAAATGTTCACGGTTTCAATTTACAGAACTGCTAGAAAAAAGTGAGAACGTGTCCAGCCCTACATAGTTCTAGGATGGTAACCTAAACTCCTAGGTTGAACTTAATGCAGGGTGGCACAGATGAAAATGGTGATTACCAGGTTAATTGTAAATATTATGAAGCTTCAGATTTCGTAAATGCATGAAATGGATCTAAATGTGATTTTGCAGCTTTTTCATTTAAAATACGAAGTTTACCACGGAAATGGGAAGATTTCTTACAATTCATTTTATAATTAAATCATGGAAACTTCAGTTTTGATGTTTTGTGTCTTCAAGAAATTTAGAGTTTTCCAAAGATTTTCAAAACTGACATTCCTGGGTATAAACCTGAAGTATATTAACTTCGCAAACAAAGAGAAAATTTTATATTTTATAATATTAGAAACGGTAAGTAAACTGAAACCCAAGAACAGCTCAGGAAAGGACAACATTTCTACCAAACTACTAAAGGAGATCATTAATTGTAGCGATTATCCTATAGCACAGGATACATCCCTAGCGGTTATAAATGTGCAAAAATTATTCCCATCTTTAAAGCGGACGAAAAAGATAAGTTTAATAACTACAGACCTATAAGTATTCTTACAGCTTTGAGTAAGCTATAACTTGAAAAAATTGCTGCAATACAAATATTCAGATATCTTAATAAGTTTAACATATTTTACAAGCACCAATATATGGATTTAGACCTAAACATAACACAAATCAACCACTTTTACATTTAATGAATAAAATCTATAAAAACCTAAAATCTAAACCAGAATTTACTCTTGGAATATTCCTAGACTTAAAGAAAGCTGTTGATTGTTGTAATTTAAACATACTTTTAAAAAACTAATTCATTATGGTTCCAAAAAATGTGACCAACACCTGGTTTAAAAATTATCTTTTTAACAGAACTCAATATGATGTATAAACGGGTTTTCTTCAACAGAAAAAAATATAACTTAACACTTAACTAAAAAAGCAGCAAAATGCTTTCAAGCAAATCGTTTGATACTAAATGTCTCCAAAACAAAGTATAAATATTTTGAAATAAAAATATGCACTTTAACCTCAACAGTTGTAATATATCAATAGGATATGAGATACTTGAAAGAAACAGTCCTTAATTTGTTCAATTTGAACTTAACAACAAACTTAATTCTAATAACACAGAGTTAAATAGATAGATAGATAGATAGATAGATGGATAGATAGATAGATAGATGGATAGATAGATAGATAAATAGATAGAGAGATAGATAGATAGATAGATAGATAAAGAAAGTTTTTACGTGAAATAAATTACTTCTATAAATCGATTATTGGAAAAGCTTCCATTGAAATTTAAGCCAGGCACTAAAATTTATTTTATTAAAAAACTTTAAATGTATATTTCACCTTATTCAACTCAAATGGATTTGCTGATGTTGCCATTTTTCAAAGGCTTGAAGAAGATTCTAAAGAAAGAAACAGTTATTTAAATATTCAAAATAAAAGTACTATTTTAATTTTTCCGTTAATCAAATATGAATCTTTTTAAGAATTTTTACAATGAGACCCATTAAACGGTGGAAACGGAAAACTACATTTAACCCTATTCCTGCTGGGGGGGGGGGGTTGTTTTCAAGTACCCCAGCAGAGATAGGGTTAAGCAAACTTATGTATATGTTGTTAAAAGCCAATAGTTTTTTCTTGTACCTTAAAAATCAACTTAACAAGTGAAAAAGATCTGTGCAGGTGCTCATTTTTAATAGTCTATTTCTAAAGACTCTTGCATATACTCAAATGAATTAATATTATTGTATAGATATTAAAAAAACCATCACCTGATAATTTTTTTCAACTTGATATCCTCATAAATTGTATTTTTTATTTCAAATCAATTTTCTCGGTCCATCTTCTTGACAATCTGAAAATTAAACTTTAAAGATAAAATTTCTTATAAGAAGATTGAAAATGCAAAAAGACTCAATAATCTTAAAATTTTAAAATTCAGAAGAAAAAGATATTCTGATAGATAAGAATATTTGATGAAACAATTTTCTTTTGAAGAAAAAAAAGTTTCACTGAAGAAAAATATTGTTGCGATAATATTATTCTCCAAGTTTTTAATTAAAATAATCTTGTCATTTTGGAATCTATGTACATTGTAAAATGTGTACATAGAAATAAATGAAAAAAATTATAAAATGCAAAATTACATAATTATAAATTTCAAATTTCCAAATGCTTTTAAACGTAGGTTTAGAAAAAGCATAAGATTTACGAATAATTAATCAATTCTGGGGGCCGAGCTTATTTTCAGTTGTTATAAAATCAATATACCTTTATATAGTAATATTGGCTATTCATAAGACCTTGATTATTTATTAATAACCGTCTAATGTTCTACAGTAGTATAAACAATGAAAAGCTGATTGTTAAAATGAATTATTAATAAATGTTCCTGATGATGGGTTGAGTCTTTAATAACCTTAAAACTATAACAAAATCTTCTACACTTTTAAATATGTCCTACTTGTAACCTACTCTTCTAATATTCTAATATTCCTCGTAAATACTTCTCTAATCCTCTAAAACTTTCTTGTAACCTACTCTTCTAATCTATATATAAATTTGGCTTGTCTGTTTGTTATGGTGTCTGTCTGTCTGTTTGTATCCACTTAAAACATGTTGATTACAGAAACTTTTGGAAAACTTTCATTATCACATCTTCATTTAAACTTTCTCTGAGTTTCTAAAAATTAGATTAAACTTTGCTTGCATCTTTATAATTAATGTTAGAATGGTGTTCTGCACGCAAAGCTTGAATATATTTATCTTGCGAGCCGAGGGAGGGAGTCCAGAGTTCCTCAAATAGTAATCACCGCCACCCAAATCTGTTTTGCGGCAAGCGCGCTCCTCAATTGGTAATCTCCACCACCTCAATTAGTAATTACCGTAATATTTGGTTTTCTGTGATTTGAATAAAACTTTCTTGTAACCTACTCTTCTAATATTCTAATATTCCTCGTAAATACTTCTCTAATCCTCTAATACTTTCTTGTAACCTACTCTTCTAATATTCTAAAATTCCTAGTAAACACTTCTCTAATACTCTAAAACTTTCTTGTAACCTACTCTTCTAATATTCTAATATTCCTAGTAAATACTTCTCTAATTCTCTATTACTTTCTTGTAACCTACTCTTCTAATATTCTAATACTTCCTTGTAAACTACTAATTCTCTAATATTCCTCGTAAATACTTCTCTAATCCTCTAATACTTCCTCGTAAATACTTCTCTAATTCTCTAATATTTTCTTGTACGTTGTAAAATATTTCCAATCTTCTAATCCTTCCACATAAACTATTTCTAATCTTCTAATCCTTACATGTGAACTACTTCTAATCTTCTAATTCTTCCTTGTAAACTATTTCTAATCCTCTAATTCTTCTCTGTAAACTGCTTCTAATATCCTATTCCTTTCTGTAATTCATAAATCCCTATAACCTATTCCCTACTTTTTTTTATTTCACGATAACCCCCCCCCCCTCGCTCCTATTCCTTAAGTAATAAGAAAAATTCCTAATTGTGTTATTTATCCAGATATAAGGCTGCATTGAATGTGTGGTATCAATAATATATTTTATTCTGGTTCATAGGACTAATTAATTACAAATATCATATCCTATAAAAAGAAATAATTTATGTTTATTATTACACTTAAGGAATTAATTATAGTTGGCACAATAGAAGAATAATAGAAAGCCCAAAAAAATTTCGTAATTAAGTACAGTTGGCAAGAGAATTTTTCTAAAATAATGTTTAATTAAGAATTTTTTTTTTATTTTTTGCCGTTTTAACCCAATTTGTTTGTAAAATTTAAATTATTTACTTTTGTAAAAAAAAACACTAATGCTCAATAAATGTTCTTATGCGCAAAAAAAAACGACAGCAAACACTCGAATGTTCCAATAGTGATGGTGTTAGGTAATACTAAATAGTTCCGGAATTTTGATGTTCGACATCGGCATGTCGGCGACTAAATGTTTTTTTGTATTAAACGTGATAAAACTAAATTATTGAATTCCCTTGAGGATTTTAGGATAGCGTGATCTCAACTTTTGTTTTCTAAACTTTTGCACTTAGCTGTTAAATCAGTTCCTTCGTTTTTCACGCAAAAATAGATATATAAAGTATTTTTAAATAGGGCTTTTAGGGCGCTTCACGCCCATTTTTTTAACTGTGCATATTTCCTTGTTTTATACATTGTAAAACAAAATACAAAAACGTTCGCGGATTTTATAAACAAAATAGTAGATTTTTTCAAATTTTTTGCAATGCGAATTTTGTTGGAGGCAAATTTTCAAATTTTAATTATTGTCATGAGAGATCCCACATAAAATGTGGTCCTGATAGGTTCAGCTATTTTTACATTTAAGAAACAAACAGACACCCAGACAGACAAGCAAAGTATGTATATACAGATTACAAATAGTTTGATTAAAATTTTGAACATAGAGTGTGTTCAATCTTTTTTTTATCTTCTAAAATGGGTTTCCTTAAATTTTACAAAATGGACGGGGGAAGGCAGAGAGGATCTCTGTGTTTTTAATTATAAGTAGAAAACAACCTGATCCAAAGACTCTCATACAGAGAAAATCAACTGTAGGAGCTGCAAATATGTACTTATTAGGATTGATGTTGACATCATGGTGGCGGAGGAGATTGAGGACACTTTGCACATGTTCGAGATGAGTACCAAGGCCAGGGCTGGATATAAGGATGTCATCCACATACACAAAACAGTATGTAAGGCTCTGGAAGATCTGATTCATCAATCTTTTGAAGATACATCCACTATTCGATAAAATATTTTGCTGTTAATTGCTGTTTTAATCTTCAAGAGTATTCCTAATATTCGAAAATGTGTTTTGTCTTCTTTCTATAGATTTTAAGAAAACAGTTTAAATATCATTTAATTTCATCTATTTTTATATCTCTATATATTTATATATGTTTTTGTTGTTAACTGTAATCTTAATTGATTGTAATCATGAATAATTAGAACATTTGTATTTTTGTTCGCATCAAAAACTCTTCGCGGAAAACAGACTGAAATATAAAAGTCCTACTTTTAACATGTGAAAAGACATTTTAGATCTAATAATTCATAAATAACCTCTTTTCATTGTATCTGCTAGGAACTCCTAGTCAAATAAAACGACGTTCATTAAGTTGAAAACAAAGCTGTCACAAAACATTTTTAGAGACGCCCTGTACTGTTTGTAAATCACGATTTTAAACTAAATGTTAATAGTTTCTAAATACTAATCGGCAAGTTAGATATTACGAAATGAAAATTCGGGTTACCTCTATAAGCATGTGAGCTTGTTTTATCACGTTAATATTTTCTTTATATCATATTTTATATCTATTTCACCTTTCCGTCAGTAAGTTAACAATAAGCTAAGATTACAGAAACCATACAATTTAATATTTAAAGAAAAAACAACATTAAAGGATCTGTACACGTTATTTAACAAAGTGTACTCTGCAGTTTTAAAACATACATAACCCTCCCTTTCCAGGGTTTCACTTAAAACATGTTGATTACAGAAACTTTTGGAAAACTTTCATTATCACATCTTCATTTAAACTTTCTCTGAGTTTCTAAAAATTAGATTAAACTTTGCTTGCATCTTTATAATTAATGTTAGAATGGTGTTCTGCACGCAAAGCTTGAATATATTTATCTTGCGAGCCGAGGGAGGGAGTCCAGAGTTCCTCAAATAGTAATCACCGCCTACGAAGGTTCATGTAGTACTAAATTTATTTATATACAGGTAAATCAAACTGATCGGATCGGCCGGTCAGAGCAACATTGAAATAGATAAGACATATATTGATAACATGGTTGATAAAGATCGTGATAAGCATTACAACAGAAAATGCTACAGGCCAAAACTTGAAATGCAAGTTAGTAAGTAGAAGGCGACCTCAAATCAAAAAAGTATCAAAAAAGAAATTGTTCGTAGAATTAATTTCAATATTATATTTGACTATCGCTGTAACCATTGAAAGCATATTGAATGTTTATATATTGCGAAATAACAGATCTAAGAAAAAGAGTACATATATATCAGCCAAAACTTAAAGAGTCAGATGGCTGAAGAACGCGCAATCAAATAAAAAAGTGTTTTTGGAATTGCATTTTACAAAGGAATTGTGTCTCGCGCCGTAATTATGTGATGAAATTTTAGTTCACTACCCTAAGTGCCACCTAATAACCTCATTAACTTTCAAAGCTTATTTTTATTTAAAATTTTCATTTTTAATATCTAAACATAAATTTTTAAGTAAAGTTCAATTCCAGTTTTGTGTAGAGCTTCTCTCTAAAATAAATTATGGAAATTTCCTGTCACTAACAGTATCAGATCCTCAAGCTATAGGGTTTCTATGGCGGAAGCAAACTTTCGCAAAAAAATGCGCAATTGCATATTCCACACATTTTTGCCAGCATTCCAAAAACTTTTGCGCGGAATTGCTCATTTTTGCGCTAACATAATCCGCACAAAACTAGAATTGCAGCTGCAATAAAAACCACAAAAAGCTCTTTTTTACGTGGAAATCTCTGTGGAATTTGAGTCCAATCATTTCCACACAAATTCAGGATTTTTTCGGAATTTGCTCGCAATTCCATTCCGCTGGAACCCTAGCTCAAACCAGATCAACTCAAACAGTTTTCTTTTCCGCTGGAAACCCTAGCTCAAACCAGATCAACTCAAACAGTTTTCTTTTCCGCTGGAAACCCTAGCTTAAACCAGATCAACTCAAACAGTTTTATATTCTGCTGGAACCCTAGCTCAAACCAGATCAACTCAAACAGTTATATTCTGCTGGAACCCTAGCTCAGACCAGATCAACT